GTCCTCCCTCCAGCTCGCGCCGCCGCCACTCCACCGCCCGTCGGCGGCCGCACCCCTCCGCCCCGCCGCACAAGCGCGCGCACCGACAGCCTCGCGGCCGCGCTCCGCGTGTCGCCGCGCGAGGCCGCGGCGATGCTCCGCACCTTCAGGCCGCTGGCCACATACAACGCAGACACCCTCAGCCAAAAAGCCGACACTCTCTGCTACCTCCTGAACGCCAGCCGGGGCCAAGTGTCTGCGCTCCTCGTGCGCGCGCCGCGCGTGCTGGGCGCGTCGGCGGCAGCGCTGAAAGACCGATTGGAGGCGATAGAGGCCGCGCTGGGCGTTGGGGCGTGCAAGGGCACGATCGAAGGCGCAGACGACGCCGTTATCAACAGCAGCGCCAGCGGCAACAGAAGTGACAGCAGCAGCAGCAACAGCAGTAGCAACATCCATGCGGACAGAAGAGAGGAGAGCAGCCGCAGTGGCGGCAGCGACGGCAGCAGTGGCAGCAGGAGGAGACAGGCCCTGTTCAGTAGCGCTGAGCCAGGGGAGGCTCGGGGCAGTCGCAGCAGTGCGTCAGAGTCGGCAGGCGTCGGGCAACGGGCAGACCTGCTGGCCCTGCTGCTGCAGCTCCCTTGGCTGCTGACGCTGTCGCCCGGGCAGCTGTATGCGCGCATTGAGACTCTCGTCAACGGCCTCGGTGCCCCGCGGCTGCAGGTGCGAGTCATCTGCAACCAGGCCGCAACCACCACGTGCTTTGTTATGGGTGCGCTGCAGATTCATCCCTTGCAATGGTCGAAAAGTTCAATCAACTCTCTTTTCACACCCGCTCAATGTTCACCCTGGGTTTGGTTCAAAAGGTTATCCAAGCCGTCCGTCGCTACCCCCAGCTGCTTCAGTCATCCAACCAGCTACCAGCCAAGCTCGCGGCTTTGGCGGCACTCCTGAATCTCAAAGGTGATGGCCCTGTCGAGATGGTTGACAACAGCAGCGGCAACAGTAGCAGCAGCAGCAGCAGCAGCAGCGCTGGGGCCAGCAGCGGCGGTGGGGGCGCCGCTGGCAAACTTGACAGTGGGCAGGCCTGCACGGCGCCCTCGCACATCGCGGCCGCGGCGTCGCTCGCCCTGCAGCACCCGCGGCTGCTATGCTTCTCACCCCGCGGCCTGAGCGCCAGGTTCACAGCGCTGCAGGCAGTCTCGGGGCTGCCTGCGGCAGCCGTCGCTGCTTCGGTGAGGGCACACCCTCAGATGCTGGTCGACGCAGCTGCGCCTGAGGGGGATAGCTAGCAAGCGCCTGAGCGCTGCTAGCGTTTGGGGGCCCACTTATTGGTGAACGGTGACCGCAGATCTGTGTGGTTTTTTTCGTGTTGCGATGCGTGAATGGCGCATCTTCTTCTGTGTCAGAAAGGCGCATGCAGCAGTGCTGATGTGTTCTGTTGAGAGACGATGTAATGTTGCGGTACTGGCCTCGCTTGCAAAAGCAAACCCTGGCACACATGCAGTACACTGAAGCAAAAAGATCTTGGGCTTGCAGGGCATACAATCATCTGGCTGGCCGTCAAGCTGCCTTGGTCATACAGATTGGTGCGCCCTTCACAGCAACGAATCACAATTACGCAAAAAACTGGCGCCCGCCTGGATCAGCAGTTGTACTGAGGACACATGTGCGGCCAACATCGCCAGCAGGACGGTGTGACCGTGTGCATGTCGCAGGAAGTGTGATCAGCCCCCATGTGAGTAGCAGCTGCAGCACAGCTGCTTTGCCGCATGCCAACGGAGTGTACTGCAGAGGTCTGCGGAGCCGTGCTGGTTGCGTTTGCGCACGTCTGCAACTCGTTGCAGCCAATTACGCACAATAACAGTATCACCGTTTTCATAAGCCTTGTTCAAGGGCCCCATCTGCTTGATTGCAGGTATGGCAACAAGACCACAGTGGGACCACCAAGTTTGATGGATGCAATGTCACAGTAGAACAGCTGGTCAGCTTGGATGGTGCATACATATCAACACGGGCAATTATCATGAAAGCCGGTAGCTGAAGTTTGAAAACAGAGCTCCCCAGTGCGATCTGAGTTACGTAGATCTATTCTAAACCGGTGACGGTGCTGTTTCTCTGTAATAGACAGCTGAGAGCGAAAGCATGGGTCGCGGTCCGGACGATGAGGGGCACATGGGCAACGCCGCAGCAGACTCGGCCCCGCCTGGCGACACCTGCCCGCCCGAGCCCGGGCGCCGCCGACGTGTGACCGCAGCCTGCGCCTGTATCCTCGGCAATGAGACTGCAGGTGGGCACCGCCTGTATCATATGCACCCGCGTCCTTGTTTCAAGTCAGGCACCCGTGCATCAACCCGCTCCCCACTCAGAATATCTACCTGCAACCTTGCAGAGCGGCTCGCGTACTATGGTATGCAGACCAATTTGTCCCTGTATGCCAAACAATACCTGGGATATCCTGCGGCCATTGCCACTTCAAAGCTGCAAGCGTGGAAGGCCACCGTTTACGTCACCCCCCTTTTGGGCGCCTTCCTGGCTGACGCATACATGGGCAGGCGCGCTGCCTACAGCAGCAGCTGCTTGCGGGGGCTTTGATGCCTGCCAGCCCAACCGTGGGCACACACATGCATGCATGAGAAAGTTCCCTCGATAAACATGCAGCTGCACCCATTGCCACCTTGCCCAATTCTAGGCATACGCGCAGCACATGCGGCGATTGCATTCGTGAGGCGTTCAGCCCCCATGCAATTAATTGCACACATAGCCTGTTTGATTGACGATGAATTTCCCATCCCCCCCTTGCAAATCAGGTTTTGGGTCATCCTGGTATTTTCTGTGATTTACCTGGCCGGCCTGGCCGGCATCACCGGCGTCAACGCGCAGCCCTCTATAAAGCCGCGCTTCATGGAGCCGCCCGCCAACGGGTCTTTTGAGCCGACGAGGTCCATGTTCTGGGGCTTCATGTACCTCATAGCCCTGGGTGGGTGATGTCATGGTCCCAAGGGGTTTGGTGGGGCTCAGGCTGGGGGTTCAGGGCTCGCAACGCGATCAAGGCGGTCATGCGCAGTGGGTGGTCAGGGGTTGGTGCAGCAAATGCTTGGGGTCGGCGTGGCCGAGGGGTCTGCAGTTGCTCTGAGGCCGGCGATGAGCTCACAGGTACAGGGTGTGATGAGTGGACGAGGAGGATAATGCACGGCGGGGAGGACAGCACAAATTTGGTCGGGCTCGGCGGTTGTACAGCACATGATTCGTAGGTGTTGCTCGGGGGCTTTGCATGATTGCGCATAGTCGTGTGTACAGGTGCAGCTGCACGCATGCGCATGCGAGTGCGTGTGTGCAGAAGAGGCCGTCTTCCCCTTTTCGTTCGTGCATCCTGCATCCGCACCACAGGCTCTGGCGGCATCAAGGCCTGCGTCGCCAGCTTTGGCGGTGAGCCGCGACAGGCACACGTCCTAGCAAGCGCCCACCGACGCTCTGCTGTGCTGCCCGCCACGATCTCGGCAGTCGCGAGGGCGGCCTCGGTTGCTGCAGGCGTTGGGAGGCTGCCTGCGCAGCACTCCCGCTCAAAGCACAGTAAAACAAGGCGTGCACGTGCTGCAATACCCCCCTGCGCCCTTGGTGTCCAGGCGACCAATTCCGCGAGGGCAGCGCCGTCGAGCGCGGCTGGCGCTCCTCTTTCTTCAACTGGTGCGCGCGTCTGTGTCACACACACACACACGCACGAGCACACGTGAGCGCGTTTCTGTGTCACACACACACACACACACACACACACACACACACACGCATGCACGTGTGAACGCACCTGCGCGTGCGTGCACACCCACGCACGCGCATGCGCACACACACATACACACGCACCCACACTGAAACGCACACACACAGGCACGAATTCACAAACACACACAAATACAAACAAAATCACCACTCACACACAGACAGGCAACCCTCGTAGTATACACGTTTCCGGTGGCAACAGGCCCCTTCCAGGACCCGTACATGTCGATCCACTTTGGTCGGCATGCTGCATCGCCTAATCTGCTGCGCCTTCCCATCCGATTGGCCTCGCACTGCAGGTTTTACTTTGCGATCAACGTCGGATCGCTGGTTGCGGCGCTGGTCGTCGTGCCCATGCAAGAGTCCAGGGTGAGGCGCGCCCCTTGCAGGGTGCAAACAGGGAGGGGTTGCAAGGCAGGGAGAGCAGCATGCCCCATGCATCTGCACTCTTGACACCGCTTGGCAACCTCATTTCAATAGCTTCAATGTGCAACACCATGCACCAGCCTGTGTTCTTGCCTCGCCGATCCCACATGCCCGTGCTGTGCCTCTCCCTTGACCTGCCGCTCCCACAAGTTTCCATGAGCCAATCCCCCTCACTTGGCGCCATCTCGCTCCTAAACACTCGCCTACACAACCGGTCAGGGCTACGCGATCGGATTTGCTATACCCACAGCCCTGATGGGGTGCGCCATTGTATTACTTATTACTGGTGCCCTCTTCAAAATGTGAGTCATGGGTTTGGTCCACTGCTTGTTTGCTTCAATGTTTTGGGTACTTATTTGCAGGCTTGCAAAAACCCTAGCACAACAACTCAGCCGCTGCCAGCCACCAGAGCCTTGTGGCGGCGCTCCACCAGCAGACACCCTGTGCTAACCAGTGGCAAGGGAGCCATCCATGTATCAGACTCCGCTACATATCCCCCTAGTCACACCAACCATCCTCAAGTCACCCCACCTTGCCCCGACCCACACGTCCCCCCTCACCCGGCGCCTGCTCTGGCCACCGCCCTCTCGCGCAGCTACACGTACGTGCCTCCAGAAGGCTCCCCGTTTTTCAGGATCCTCCAGGTGCTGCGCTGGGCGTTCGTCAACCGCCGACAGCCCATCCCCACCCACCCTGATGACGAGTGCTATGGTGCGCTCACATGCAGCCAGCGAGGCCGGCAGCCCGCGTTTGTTCTCAGTGGCACTGCATGCCCACTGGCCATTGCTGATGACTGCTGCACCGGCCTGTGCTCGCTACTGACCCCCAAGAGGCTCTTTGTCGAACGCCTCTTAGTGTACCAATTGCCGCACCCCCCCCCTCAATTGTGTTTCTGGAATAAATCGAGCCTGCGGCGCCCAACCCCTCAGAGCCGCTCGTTGGCGAGGTCAGCCAAAAATTCAAGATGGGCCACACCAACCGCATGCGCTACCTCGAGCGCGCCGCGCTGCCGCACGGGCAGTCGGGGGCTTACCAGGTGGGGGGTGCGCCGCCAGGTCCGCACGCCGGCAGTCAGGAAGCAAAACTCGTGTATATGTTGATGACGTGTGCAGCCGTCTTGAGCGCTGCGCATGGGCCGGGAAGCATCCTGCTGACTCAACCTCAACCGAGTCCTTCAGCAAGTTGAGCCATCTCCGTCCTTGTCATTGTCAGCCTCGACCTTCCTTTCTCGTGATCCAGGTCTCACTGTCCGAGGTGGAGGAGCTCAAGGCACTGGCAGGGCTGGCCCCCGTGTTCCTGTGCGTATGCATCTGGCAGATGTGCTATGATCCAATCTTTTCACTGCTGCCATACCCTGGTGAGTCGAAGCAATGGGTGCTCACCGCCTTATTCGCCAAGGCACCCCCTGGTGTATGTCTATCTGCAGACCCTCTCCTTTCAATGCAACCAAGGCATCTCTTGGCAATGCCTGCCTGCGTTCTTCACCACCCCGTCGTTCCATAATGCTTGCGAGCCGCTTTATATTTCCGGGCACGGCAATGACCACCCTAACCCTCGCCGCACATCATGGCAGAGCCAGAATCCCACTCCGGTGTCGCCTCAACATCACACAAATACACGCACACGTGCGTGCATGCGCGCACGCGCGCGCGCACATACACACACACACACACACACACACACACACACGCACACACACACCCCTTTTCAGACCGTCCGCGTGTAACCCATCCCACCTCAACGTATCTGTCATCACCCCTGCACCATCCCAGGTGATGTCATGGAGCGGTCCATCGGCACCAGCGGCCTGAAGCTACCCGCCGCCTCCATCTCATTCGCCAACACGTTTGGAGTTCTGATCTCGGTCCCGCTGTATGATCTGGTTTTGGTGCCCTTTGCCAAGAGGATTGGGCGCCCCATCAGCTACATGGCCAGGATTGGGGCGGGGTTTGTGGTCCTGATCATTGCGCTCCTAACAGGTGCATGGATGCAGGTCGGGGTGGGGCACGCATGTGTGTGATGGCATCGAAGCCTGTTGTTGGATGCCGCTGTTCCCGCTGTTGCTGCAAACCTTGTGAGCTTGTCGGGCTGGGACCTCTGGGGGATTTGCCGTGCCCCTGAACTTTGCACCGCTGAGAGTGGACCTTGTCTGGTGCTGTTGTACCCAGCTGATGATACGTATTTGAAAAATTCTGCACAACCGCGCAACGGCTTGCATCAACCCATATGCCACCCCTCCCCCTATATGCACCCCCACGCCCCTGAAACCAGCCGGATTCATTGAGCTGGCGCGCTACAGGATGGTGCGGCGCATGGGCCTGGCGGCAAAGTGGGAGGTAGCGGTGGCTGCTGACCCTGCCGTTGAGTACACAGACCCAGCCTTCACGGAGCCCATCAGGTGGGGTCTCATGGCTGGGATCTGTACGGCAGGGAACACCGCCTGCATGCGGAAACCACCTGCACGTCCGGCTGCGGATTGTGGAGGTGCTGCACTCAGCATGCATGCCATATGGCAATCAACGCAGAGCTGTGCGCAGTGACGAAGCGCAGGTCGGCAACGCTGGCAAAAAGTTTCTCTGCACTCATGCCAGAGAGCGTATTGCGTGCCGGCTGTCTTTGGCTTACGTGTGAATTTTGCAAGTTTTTACCGTTTTACGCACCACCTGTTGCTGTTCTCTCTGTCCTCACCCCACTACCCACCTCCGGCCCGACCCCGCGCCACCACGTGCCACCCAACATCTCGCGATCCTATCCCACCTGCCCCTCCTCAGCATTTGGTGGCAGACAATCCCCTACTTCCTAGTGGGGGCCGCCGAGACGCTGACCCTTGTTGGTGCGAGCACGCGCGGACCTGCTCACCCCACATGCAACCCAGAGTTGCTGTGTCAGCTCGCACTCCCTGCATGATCAGCACCCCCACGCCTCCATGCGTGCGTCCCCTTCCGTGTTATGCAGCTGCACATCACTGCCTCAACATGTGCGGCTCCAGTCTTGTGCAATTTGATTCAGTCAAAGGTGCTGAGGCTGCCATGTCGACGGCCCTGTCGCTCTGCTTCTCTTGTAAACCGAGTGCCAGGCGTCCTGGACCTCTTCTTCACCCAGGTGTCCGAGGGCATGCGCGCCCTCAGCACGGCCATCCAGCTGCTCACCACCGCGGTAAGCTGGCTCGGCCCACGCTGCTTGCGGCTCGCTTGGCAGCGTGCATGCCGCTCCGGTTGGCTTGACCAAGGGTGGGGTCAGGCTTGCAAGGAAGACCAGCCGGCCTATCGCTGTTCAATATATTGAACAAGGCAGTGCGTGCCAACTGGCTTCTGACTGACCACCCCAGCAATGCATTTGCGCACCAAATCCGTCACGCAGGTTGGCACCTACCTGGCGAGCGCCCTGAACATTGCAATTGCCGCCGGCACCCGCGCTGACCCCTGGGTGGCTGACAATCCCCTGTACGGCCATTATGACTGGTATGCAGAGGGTTGGGTGGGAGGATGCTTGTATGAGAGCGTTTGTTGTGGGTAAACGAGACGGCGCGGCTGAGCGCCGCCAGCAGCACCTAACCTGTTCAGAGTAGTATGCATTACCCAGCTTGCACATGGCATTGACAGCATTCAACCCCCTACCTAGCTGCTCACCACCCCGCGCACATGCAGCAATATACCAACAACGCATGCTGGGTATGCAGGTACTTCTTTGTAAATGCGGCCATCCTGGCCCTGGGATTGATTGCATTCGTCCTCGTGGCACGTTTCTACGAAGAGAAGGCCGTCATCCCGCACGTGAGTCATGGCCTGGCAGCGTGATGTCACCCTGCATGGCAATTCAAGTCAGATTACTAATCTGACGACCCCACCAATGGGGAGGGACCGCTGCCAACGCCAAACAGTCTGCAAGGCAGGGAAGGGGGATGGCATTTGACTGGCAAGGACGTCTCGGTGCCGGCACAGGCGGGCACTGGGCGATCTCGGCCGGTGCGCCTCAAGCCCTGATTCATGCCCTGTCAACCCTCAGCCTGGGCAGCTGATCCAGCACCTTTCTCTGCCCATTTGTGATCGCGCAGGACGACCTGCTAGAGGGAGGGGCCATCGAGATGGGCTGCGGCCCCTCCAGCAGCATCCAGCTGCCCGGCGGGCAGCTGCGCGCCCGCCACGGCCCCAAAGGCACCCCCGGGTCGCCGTCCAGCAGCAGCCCGCACGGTCTCGCGCCCGCGCGGTCGAGCGTGCAGGCGCTGCAGGTTCAGGCACTCGACCCATTATGATGTGACGTGTGCAGCAGTGGCGATCAGCAGAACGAACTCTGGTGTGGAGACAAGGTACGGCTGCTCAAGAACAGCGCCGCTGCTTATGTTTGTGGCCAAGAATATTGCTCGATGGCAGCTCCTGGCGCAAGACACATTTAGCAGACACAGCGTGTGGCATTATACCTGCAGCGAACCTCAACCAAAAGAGGCCCCAATGCCAACCTCCAGCAACTGCTTGTTGCATTGGTCGCTCATGCTGTGTGTCACAGCCGCCATGCATGGAGGCTGTGAGGGCATACTTGTGCTTGTTGTGTTCACAGGACGGTTCATTCAAACCCCACATGCACTTGCACATTATGTATCAGGCTGCCGGTAGCAAGGTCTGTACGCCCTGGCAAGCGCTGAATTTTTGCATGTCCCTTTGGGGCTTGGATCTGAGCACAGATTGCATTTGACAGCCTGATTATGGTGGCCCGACCTCGGCGTATGCATGTCGACCCGCTGATGCCATTGGCCCACATCTGCACAGATGCTAGCAAACCTTGTATATCTTGTATCATTCAGCATCGTAAATGGTGTCACCTGATAGACACGTGCCTGTGTTGTCACCTCCTTTGACAACGCCCGCCCTGGACTTGCAGTGTAAGCCAGCCTCACGACCATGCCATGCGGACGGGGGGCCGACGCCCATTGTGAGTGACCTTTTCTGCTATGCAACGTCCTGCGCACTGTGCTTTGCAACAAGCGACAGCCGCATGGGGCAGTCACCAGCGGCAGCTGCTGCTTAGCATGATCAGTCCAACTGCGGCCAGACAAGTCAAGCGGGACGTCATTGTCAGTGGTGCTCAACCTGGTGATACCATAACCTGGTGCCCATCACATGCAAGGCCGACACATCGGCTATAGGTTATTAAATTATCGTGCATTGCATACTGCCGCAGACACCGTGCGGCACTCTGCTGCAAGCCTCATCGCAGAATTCGGGCGGTGTGTTGCACGGTCCAGTCGGCCCCGGATCGCCGTGTATTGCTTCTCGAATTGTAGTTGGACTGTTTAAACAAGCCATCTCGAGCCGTGTGAGCCGTTGCGTGCCCGAGGCACACCCGCGTGCCGATTGATCGGGGCTTGCAATGGTACGCTGGCCAATGTAGGTATCATTGCAGCGTGTTACAATCATGCAGAAACAGCAGCAGCCGGCAGCACTGCCGCCGGACCCGGCGCTGCTGCAGGCGCATGCCGAAGCACGCGCCGCGTTGACGCCGCTCTTTGAGACGATCCAGCAGGAGCAGGCGCGGCGGCAGCGGCGCTGGAACGATGAGCGTAAGTCCCACCAGGGCTGCGGGGCGCCGCTGACCTGGGGCCGGACCGTGCGCGCCAACCGACCCGCCGGCATGGCCCCGCCCCGCTGCGTCAGCACAGTCAAACCACCCGTATTGCATACGCCACGCCGCGGCCGCCTGCGGCGCCCCTCTGCAGGCCCGATGCTCGAGTCGTACATAGCGGCCCTGTCCAGCACCCGCGAGATCATCACTGCCGAGCAGAAGCGCCTGGTCAAACAGATCTCGGAAGCCTCAGAGGCGCTCGCGCGGAAGGCCGCCGCGATCTCCGCCTCCGCGTCTGCCGCCGCCGCGGCCGCGTCCCCCGCCGCCCTGGGTGCGCCGCCCGCGGCCCCCGGGGCGGCGCTGGGCGCGAAGGACAGCCTGGGCCTGGCGGCACAGCTGGCAGAGCTGCAGACGAAAATGCGGGAGCTGGACTCGGAGGTCGAGGCTGTGCGGCCGCTGCTGGCGGCGGGGGCGGGCGGCAGGGCGGACGAGCGGGTGCTCCATGAGACCAAGCTCGTGGTACTGCAGGTGAGGGGCAGCCAGGAATGACTGTGCAAGGCTCGGTCATAGATCAGCCAATCGCCTTCTAGCGGTCGTCAGAGTGGCAGCGTGCTGAGCGCGTGTGTCAGGGGCCGCCTGGGGGGGGGGTGAGGGGCGCAGCTGCCCAGCACTGCAGCCTGCCGGACCTTTGCGGGCCCAAAGGGCAGGCTGCATACGAGTGCAGCAGCCAACACACGCACCCTTGCCCGTTCAGGCAGCCAGCGGCCGGCCTAGCAATGCCAAGCCACGCAAGGGCCCTGCTGCCTCGCGCGCGCAGGACACCAGGCGGCTTCTGCAGGAGGAGGCGGCGAACCTGCACGCAGAGCTGCAGCGGCGCGACGCGGCGGCGCGCTACTGCGCGGAGAGCGCGCGCGCCGAGGACCTGGTGTCGACCAGCGACCTGGGGCGGCTGCAGGAGCAGCTGGCGGCGACGGAGGCGAAGCTGGACCGTGCCAAGCAGGTCTGGGGGGCGGCGGGGGTGCGCGGCGCGGCAGGAGGCAGCGGCGAGGCGGCGCCGCAGCGGGGTTTGGCAGACTAGCAGGACGCAATCATCAGAAATGTGAGGCAGCTGGGGGGCCGCATAGTGGCAGGGGCTGGCATCCTTACTAAGGCAAGAGATTCTCTCGATCCAGCCGCATAACGAGCGCATGCGGTCCTCCCCCCTCACGCGCCTTCGCAACCCGCCCATGCATGACCGCCACCCTTCCACCTCCTGCAATCCCAACGCCGCACACGCGGCGATCCAAACCAGCTGTTCTACTTCCCCGAAACCGAGGGCTTCCGCTTCCGGGGCGGCGGCGGGGGCGTATTCTTTGCGGCTAAGGACCTGCACGTGGCAGAGATCAGCGCGGCCGTCAGCGTCAGCCTCACCAAGGCGGCCGGTGCGCGCGGCGGCGCGCCGGTGGCGAGGCTTTGCATCAGCCTGAGCGGCGCGTCCGGCGGGGAGCAGGCGAGGTGAGGGCTGGGCTCGGCGCTTCGGCTTGAGGGGGCGCTTTATAAACACACCGCTGGTGTCCACTTCTATGAATGAAAGTGCGCCCCTGACCGTGGGGCGTTCTTGTTGATCATGAGATCATACGTCCTGGCGTCAACCTCTCATCAACCAACTGGCACAGGCAGCCGCCCGGCGCCACCCGCGCCTCCGTCGGCGCCGCTGTTTCAGCGGCTGAGGCCGCGCGCGCCGCCGCGGCGGAGCGCGCCGACGCGGCGCAGCGGGACGCCTTCCGCGCGGCCCGGCAGGCGTCCAACGCGTCGTCAGCATCCGGGTTGTCTGCCGCGGCCGCGCCCTCTGGCAGCTCTCCTGCGTCCGGCGCGGCAGCGCTTCGGGGCGGCGGCGGTGGCGGCGGTTGGCATGATGACCTGTCGGGCATCAACGGCGGCGGCAAGGGGCGAGGGGTGGCGAAGTTCCTGGACAATCTGTCTACGAGGACGGAGCAGCTGAAGGGGCGGATTTCGGCCGCTGCGGCGGCGGGCGGCGCCCATGGGTGCGTGGGCAACCCATGGGAGGGTGTGCGGGCTGCATTCTGCGGCGTCACGGCACACGGCATGCGCGTCGCACGGTCTTCTGAGACACAGGGCACTCCATGATTTGAGCGCCTGCCCTCCATGCAGTTGCTTGCACCATGCGTGCACCCACACGGGATCCATGCATGTGCGCATGCGCGCACTCACGCATGCACAAAGCGCCATGCATGCGGTGCGCTCATGCTGGGATGCGCTCATGCGCCCCTGCCCATGCGACATGCCTCCATGCGACCACGCAGGGACGCTGCGGCGCTGGGTCACGAGGTGGCGGAACACATGCGCAGCGGCCTCAACAAGGTGGCAACCGCTTTCAAAGAGAAGGCGCGCGCGCTGCCCACGGGAGACGACGGCCCGGGCGGCTGGGCGGGAGGCGGCGACAGCGGCAGCGGCAGCAGCGCGAACGGCACGGCGCGCACCGGGAGCGGCGGCGGCGGCGGCCTGGGCGTGGGTGGCGCACCAGGCGCGGGAGCCGCTGGGGCCGGTGGCGGCGGGGGCTTGCCCGTGGCGTGGCGGCCGCCGCAGGGCGCTGCAGGCCAGCCGCACGGCCATTCGCCGGAGCGGCATCAGGGTGACACCTCGGCGGCCGAGATCAAGCAGAGGTGAGCAGAAACCGGCCGTGTGGTCTTCAGTCCATTGCAGCCACCCTATCCCCCCTACCCCGTCTCGCTTCTTCGCCCCAAGCGCCTGCCCTGTACCTCCTGACTCACCAGCGCCGAGCAGCGCCCCGCCCGCCAGCGTTCACGATTACCCTGCGCCGCCTTGACCTGCTGCCCCAGGCTCAGCAGCGGCGTGGAGAGCGCAAAGGCCAGGTTTGGGGGCCTGGGGCGCAACCTGCGGGACCGCCTGGATAAGATCGATGCCAAGGTCGCAGACTCCAAGGCGCTCGCGGAGGCCAAGAGCCGCCTGTCTGGCGGCGCCGCCAACTTCAAGCGGTGCGCGCTTTGCTGCGCATGCCTCGCACAGGCTGGACGCTCCACGCGGCGCGCCGCGGGGGATGCGGCTTTGGGGGGCGGTTTTGGATAGGCTTTCCCTGGATCCCTACTTTGTGGAGGGCCGCCACAAAGTATCCTCCATATCCTTCCTGCTCCCCCCCTCCCTCCTCCTGACCGCTTGTCTCCCGATTCCCTACCCCTAACCGCTCCCTGCCCCGCTCTGCCGCCTCCGCTGGCTGTTGCAGCCACCTCAACGCCGCCGTCGACCGCCTGAGCTCGGACAGCGGCCCCGCCTCACCGGGCTGGGGGGTGCCGGCCCAGGGGCCGCTGGCGGCCGGCCTGGCCGCGTCCCCTCCAGTGCACCCGCGGCCGGGCGCGCCTGCACACGCTGCGCCGGCGGTCGCAGGCGGGCTGTCGACGCCGGCGTCGCCGGCCGGGCCGCCTCACGCGGGGGCGCTTACCCAGCAGCTGCATCCTGGCGGCGCCCTGCCAGCCGCGGACGGCAGTGAATCGGGCCACCCTGATACAACCAGGTCTGGATTGCAGCCGGGGATTGGGCGGCAGCCGCAGAGCCAGCTGATTCAGGAGGGGGACACCAGTTCTTTGACCCCTGGTGGGGAGGAGGAGCAGCGGCGGGAGGTGCTCTTGCGGCATGCTGCTGGACGGCAGCAGCAGGAGCAGGAAGACGAGGAGAGGGGATACCAGCAGCAGCAGCAGCAGCAGCAGCAGGACGGGCGGGACGAGCAGGAGGAGGAGGAGGAGCAGACACAGGACAGTGAGCAGCCCAGCGAGCCTGGCGCCGCCTTCACGTACACAGACGGGGCCTCGGATGTTGCATCCCCTCACGCCCCTGCTCGGGGCGCGGCGATCGGCCCCCACGGCGCAGCCACATCAGTGGGCAACGCCTCAGGCGCCAGCGCTGGCGGCAGCCTCTTCTCCGCCGATGTAAGCCTCGCGGCCGCCGGCGCGGCTGCTGGGGGCGCCGCGGCGGGCCCGGGGCCCCCTGCCGGCGGCAGCGGCGTGCTTGGGCACGACGGCGGTCCGCGGGGCCCCGCGCGCCGGGGGCTGTACGTGACACTCCTGGGGGAGTCTGTCGAGGTCCTGGGGGAGAAGGGCACCAAGGTATGCTGTGCGGCGACACCCGTTGTGGCCGCCGCCCCGCTCGCCAGCCAGATAATAATTCATCCTAACATGAGATGTATAACACCCTGCCCAACAGATCTTGGGATCTTGAACATTTGACCCTGGGGTTTGGGACGTCGCTGTTTGCAGGTCCCGAACATCTCCATGCGCGAGATAGCCCTGGAGGTGGAGGCGGTGTTCAGCGCAACTTTTGAGTACGACGCACTCCTGGGCTGGCAGGTGAGCCTGAGTGTGGGCCGGTGCGCGCATGCGTGCCTGTTCCTGCATGCGTGATTGTGCGTGTGCATGCGTGCGTGCGCGCGCGTGTGTGTCTGTGTGTGTGCGTGTGTGTGCGTGTGTGTGCGTGTGTGTGCGTGTGCGTGTGTGTGTGTGTGTGTGTGTGTGTGTGTGTGTGTGTACCCCGCCGACGCGGCTCGCCCCCTGCCTCCGTCTTCACTTGCCACGACCGGCCACTGCTCCACGACCGCTCTCCCTCCCCCCAAAACCCCGGGCTTGCCCCTTGACCCGCAACCGCCCCAGGCCCCGGAGCGGCTGTCCTTTGAGGTGCTGAGCCTGGAGCGCCGCGTGGAGGGCTCCAACCTGCCGCTGCCCAAGACCCTCATAAAGAGCCTACTCAACATGGCCCTGCCCCCGGTGCGCCACTGCGCTCCGCAATCGCCGCTGACAAAGCGCACGCGCGGCAGCAGCTGCAACCCTCTGCGTCGTCTGGGCGCTGCTGGGCGCCGCTCGCAGCAATCCAGCACTCTGACGCCGCCCCTGCCCTCATGGTCTTAATCATTTTTTATCCCCGCGGCCCTCGACAGCGCCCGACCTGGCGGCCCCCTCTTCTCCCACCTTCCCCCTCACATCTCGCCCCCTGCTGTGCGCCAGGTGTTCACGCGCCTGCTCCTCAGCAGCCTGCCCCACGAGCTGGGGAAGTACGTTGTGGACAGCGGGGAGGGCGTCGGCCTCACAGGGGAGATACGCATAGCAGGTGGGGACGGCGAAGGAGGGGAGGCGGATGGGCGTTCACGTCTCCTCCCGCTGGGATGACTCCAACTGCTTTTGGGAGGTGCTGTGTGCGGCAGTGGGGAGCGGCGGTGGAGATTATTGGCTGCGTCTGTCACGGACCAGGAACGAGTGAGCACTCGTGCATATCACACTGTGGCAACAGACTGCACGCACGCGCCCCCACGCCGTCGCGCCCAGGGCCGTCCCTGAAGGCAATGGCCGCCGACTTGACAGTCGGCCCGGGAGACATCCCCAGGGGCCGCGCCGACGTGTCAGACTTTGTCAAGGCGAGTCGTGGGGGTCGGCCGCGTGCTGTGTGTGCGCGGTCTCTCCTGGGGCACCATTTCGAGGGGCGGCGATTGCCGCTGACATCAGTCATCAAGGGGTGCTGAGAGGCCTCAGCCATTAAATGACATGGTCTTTGGCGCCAAGGCCCCTCCAGGGCATGGAAACCGCCTGCTCACATCGCTTCATCCTCCCTCCTCCGCCTGTCTGCCAATACTCAGCATCTCCGCCCTGCCGTCACCAACCCATTCCCCCTCGACTTCCACGGCCCCTAAATCCACCCCGCGCCCCCTCAACTTCCAACCCCAGGAGCTGCGCGCGTCCCAGCACGCGCGCGCCATGCTGGGGCTTCACGATGACGCGGCCTGGCGTGCCCTGGCCGCGCTCCTCTCCCCCGGCCCCTGGTGTCTCTCCCCTGACCCGCGGCCGGGGCCGCTCACCGCGGCGGAGCTGTGCAGGCGAGCTGACCCATGGGCCGCGGCTGCGGCGGCGCGCAGCATTCTTGTCGATGGGTCGAGGGGGCTGCCGCTCGCGCGCGTGCTTTTGTGCACGCTACAATGACCTTCAACACACGCACACATATATACTATCAAACACATATGCGCACAATTTCAGATGCTTTCATATACACACACTCTTACTTTGCAGGTTCTTCTCAACTTACAGCGCCAGCGCCACCTGGCCCGACCTCCTCGCAGCCTGGCAGCCCGCCGTCGCCGCCGCCGCCGCTGCCCTCTCGTCCGCCGCCTCCCCCGGCCCCCCCCCGCCGCAGCCGGCCCAGCCGCCGGACTTTTCGGCCCTCATGCAGGGCGCCGTCGCGGCGCTCGCGCGCAAGCCGGTGCGGGTGTCTTTTGAGGTGTCCAAGGTTGAGGTGGGGGTGGAGGCCGGCGCGGCGCTGTCGGCGCTAAGGGACTACTTTGAGCGGCTGGCACGGGAGTTTGCAAAGAACGCCAAAGGGTGTGCGGGACGGGGCGTTGGGCGCGGCCTGATGGCGGTGATTTGCGATGAGTTGGGATGCTGAGGCGCGCGCACTCGCTGCAGGTGGTGGGAGGGGCAGGGCGAACGGCTGCAGGCTTGTTAGGCAGCCAAGACACAAGCCTGCCGAATCAGCTTGATTGCTGGGCAAGGATACCTGCCTCAGACACACACACTTGCACACACACACACACACGCACACGCACACACACACACATCCGCCCCGCCGCAGGGAGGACGCGCGCCTGCTGCTGCAGCGCCCTCTGGCCGCGCAGCTCGAGGGCCTCGACCTGTGGCACACCGGCCTGCAGGCGTCGCTGCGCAAGTTTGCGTCGCGCTTCGCGAGCGCGGGGTGCGCGATGGCGGCGGGCGCAGACCGGCGGCAGTTCAGGGTGGCGGTGGAGGGGCTGCATTACGAGGGGCCGGTCAGGCTGGAGGTGGGTGTGAGCCTGCGCGCACGCGGCGTGGGCGGCGTAGGGTGGCGGATGGGGTGCGGATGATGCATCGACCTGCTTGCCCACCTCGTTCTCACGCAGCAAAGTAGGGGCGTGAGATATGAATATCGAAACGAGAGTGCCCACCAACCACTCACATACACATGCACACGCAAACACACACACACACACACACACACACGTGCGCTTAAACATCTACACATTTCCCCAACCCAAACCCCAACAAACACCCAAACCGCACAGGTGCCGTTTGACGCGCTGATGTCACCAGATCACGCGTTCCTCTTCAGCATCAAGCTGCCCGACCCCCAGCACGCCGCCACCAACCTCGGCGCGCGCATACGATATGTGATGGATCAGCTGTCGGCGGCCGCGTTTGGGCTCGGCGCAACGGGGCAGGCCGCCGGTGACGAGGGCAGCCAGGTGAGGGGTCTTGAGCGGGCGCAGCGACGGGATCCATCACAGTTTCGACCGGGCTCGCCATCGGCTTCTGGGGAGAATCAGGGGCGGCTCGCGCCGCCGATGCGTGCGGTCGTGCCTCTGGCCCCATGTCAACCGGCGCTCCCTCCTGCACCCTCCGGCCGCCAGCCCCCCGTGGTTTCAGCCACTGCACATCGCACTCACAGTCTTGAGCCCTGCTTGCAAACACACAACTCCCTGCTAGCCCCCGAGAAGCAACCCGCCGCGCATCACGATTGGGCTGTGGCCCCTCCCCCAGGATGACCCGAGGCTGTCTGATCTGCTGCTAAGGGATGACCTGCCCCCGGAGCTGCAGCAGGGCCTCCACAAATGGAACAGCACGGGCAGCAGGGCAGCCTCCGCAGAGGGCGCCACAAGCAGCGGCAACGGCGGCGGCGACGGCGGCGGCGGCGGCAGCCCGGTGCGCCGCGTCGCGCTGATGCGCTCCGCGGGCGGGTCGGGGTCGGGGCCGCTGCCTCCTCATGGGTCCCCTCCGCGGCCCCAGCAGCTGCAGCACAAAGGGCACGGCAGCAGCGGCCTGGGGCGCAGCGTGAGCGTGGGCAGCAGCGACGCGGCGGCGGCGCGGGCTGCGGCGACGCCCGCGCAGCCGCTGCTTACGACGCCGACAGTCGGGCACGTTGCGCTGAGGCGGCTGTCGGTGGGGCTGAAACTGGATGAGAAGCGAGTGGCAGAGCTGCTGCGGGGCAATGTGCAGGTGGGGTGCATGACCTTCTATGTGGTGCAAGGGTACGTGCGTGGGTACCATGTGTGTGTGTGTGTGTGTGTGTGTGTGTGTGTGTGTGTGTGTGTGTGTGTGTGTGTGTGTGTGTGTGTGTGTGCATGTAGGTCGCGGGTGCCTCATGCTCCCTCTTCAACCAGAGGGCTTGGCTGTTGCATGGCAAGGCAGCTGCAGAGGGCACACTCGGTGCAAAGCTGTCACCAGACAGCCATAGACAGCCTTGAGGCACCAGTCACCTCCTGTGCGTCGCCGGCGTGACTGCGTTTGCACGGCCTGCACAGCCACTGGCCGCCGCAGCTCCCCTCCCAACCAGCCGTCCCGCCCCGCCCCTCCCCTCCCTAACCGGGCACCCGATCTCCTCGTGCCCCGCCCTCTCGCCTGACGCACCTGAACACGCCCCTGATCCAACCCCCTCCAGGCGGGCGACTCGGCCGTCGTGGGCGCCCTGCTGGGCTGCTTCGGGGATCTGTTCAGAGCGGAGTTTGCCCCCAGATGGCCGAGCGACGCCGAGCTTGCGGCCGCCGCTTCCGCCGCCGCGTCGCAGCAACAGCCAGCGCCGCCGCCGCCGCCGGTCCGCGGCGCCGTCACCGTCGCGAGCAACGACGTCACGCGCGCGCGGCTCGACCTGGAGTGCGCCGCGCTCGAGTCCGCGCTCGCGCCGCGCGCGGCGACGCGGCTGCTGCACGCGTTCTGCGTCGCGGTTGCTCACAAGTTCTGGGGCTCCACAGGAAAGCGGCTGGCGAAGCTGGAGGCGCTGTTCTTCCATTTGGAGCAGTACCTTGGAAAAGACGCTTTGGATCTTTCGGTCTCCTTATCTGCGCGCGCCGAAGCCGCGGAGGGGGACAAGCTGAAGCTGCAAGTGTCGGGCCTGCCCAGCGGCGGCGGCGGCGACGGCAGCAGGGGGCGGGAAGAGAAGGCGTCGGGCGGCGGAGGGGCGACGGCAGCGGCGGCGGCGGCGGTGCGCCTGGTCAACGACGTTGACCTGATGACTGTGCTGGACACTGTGCAGCTGCTCGCATCTGCCGGCTGAGGCGCGGCCCCGCACTCGGCTTGCGCGCCCTGATTATGCCGGTCAGCCGGTCGATGAGGGGCCAGTTGCTGCTGACGGTCCAACCTTGGTGGCGCCGCGGCCGCCCGCCCGCTCCCTCTGGTGATGACCGCCACGCTCCTGCACAATCAGGCCCGGCCGTGCCGGGCCACCGGTGGGAGTTTGGGCGCGCCGCGGCGGACGGGTTGGTTGGTGCGAAGATTCACTCTGCGGCTTTTGCTCTTTTGCTGCTTTGAGGGCTCCACAAGCGTTGCTGCGCCACGCCCGTGGGTGACGAGCGGAGGCAGACCCTTTCCCACCTCACTTGAAGCTCTTGACCTTGCAGCCCCTTGCTTTGTGGGCCCTGCACCAACCAAAGCATGACAACGACCGAGCTTCTTCCTTATTCTTGCGACTTGGTTGGGCTGCATGGCCGTCGAGGCGCCTGGTGCCCCCCTCTCAATGACCGTGCCAAGATGCACGCGTGCAGCAGGGCTGACCCGTAGTCTGTTGTCAGCTGCCTTGCACACGTCGTCATGATTACCATCTAAAAACTACTACTTATGAAAGCACTTGGCGGCTTTCCGGTGGCTCTATACACAGCCAAAACCTCGGATCCACCTGTTCAGTGCAGTAACTGTCCCTCATACCGCGCAGCCTGTCGGGAGCCCTGCACAAGGGCCCGGTCCACCATCCTCCCTGCGCTCGCCCAAGCGCTCGGGAGCCAATGGCAGCTGCAAGCTTGCGCGGTTGGAGGAGTCCACAAGTGCGTCGCCGCGCGTTTTGAGCGTGCAGCCGCGGGTGGGAACACACAGGGCTGTGCACCAGCCAGGGGTGGCTGCAGCATTGGTGACCGTGTTGTTTTGGGGCAACAAATATCAAGGGGTGAAGCATCTCGAAAGGGCAACAGAAACAAGCCTCCCGAAAATCCAGGAGCTGCCAAGTGGATGCAACCAATCAAGAGGATGCAGCTGCTCCTTGTCCGTTCAACACGCAGATGTTTGACAGCTATTGTCCAAGAAACGGGCATCAAGGGGCCCACTCAAAACTTGTGTACAGCAGGTTGGGGCGTGCGGCGCGCTGGCCGCGACGCCGCATGCGGCGCCAATGGCACCGGTGCCCACGTCGTGCGCTCTAGCCCCGTGCGGACTGTTGGTGTGCACGTGGGTGCCGGGCGGAGGGACGCCTGGGGTGCGCCGGACAGCCCAGGCAGGGACCCTGCTAGGCGGGGGTCAATTGAGGGCGTCGGCTGCACTGCTGGGATGCCGACAGCCGAAAACATCCTCCCCAGTTAACGCAGCTGCCTAACCGCGCGGCCCAGCACCTGCGTCGCTGCTGTAGGCCGGGCCAGGGGGCGGCTCAAGATGCCTTTGAGGCCCGGACGGCAGCGTGCGCTTCGGCTGCCTGGCCTTATTCACGCCAGGCTCCGCAGGGGGGTGCAGCGGCAGCGTCACAGGTGCAGCCAGAGCCTCTCGTAGGCCACATACATGACCAACTTTGCAACAAACTCCGCGCCGCCAAACGCGAACGCATCCTTCAGCTGCGGGAGGAGGGGGACGAGATGGAGGAAGGGGGCGGGGTTGGTTTCTGGGGTCAGGAGAGGAGAGTCATGGGCCACCCCGCAACATGCAGCAGGAGCCGGCCCAGCACGCACAGGCATGCGCCACTTCCAAATGGACTGATGCAAGCTCCGAGAGCCTGCTTCCCTCGCTGCTGGCTAACTGCAGCCGATCGCTGCGATGCCGGCCGCCCAGGCATGCGCACCAGCCAGGGCCGCAAGTCCCGCCAGGCGGCGCGACTGGAGCTCACAGGGTGCAACTAGCCCATGCACCCTTCCCCAGCCCATGCACACGCACGCGCTGCCCACCTCAATGGAATCGTGCAGGAGGATGAACGCCACGGCCACCGTCACGGTCGTCGAGAAGAGGCGCCAGATCACCCCCTTTATCACGCTGCGCACGACGCTGTCGTCCCTCGCACCCCTGCGGCTGCCGCTGGCTGCGCCCGCCGGCGCCGAGGCCGCTGCGGCGGCGCTGGGCGGGAGGGCCTCAACGTCCACGCTGACGTTAATGCCGCGCATGTAGCCTTGCTGGAAGCCGGCCTCGTAGGCGGCGCGCAGCTGCTGCTGAAGCTCAGGGGACAGCTGCTCACGGGCGCGAGCACGTGGCTCAGCAAGAGAGACGGTGGCCACTGCGGCAGCGCTTCCGCTGTTGCTGCTGCTGGTGTTGGTGAATGCTGTTGACGACCATATGGGTGCGACCGAAGTGGTCGTGTCTGTGATGGACGCGACGCGAAGCGGCGCGCCACGGGCTGACCAGCGGCGCATTGCTGCCCTCTGCACACTGACCGGCGCTGCCATGCGCCGGAGCGCTGCTCCATGTGCGTGCTGCAATACGGAATTCATTGCCATTTCAACCAATATCTGAAGTTTGCGAAAACGCGTGAGTCGCTCTACGCCACCAGATACTTGTGGAGTGGGCGCCGAGAAGCTCTGACAATGACCAGAGGAGACGAGAATCAACGCTTGTAATATAACGCGGTGTGTGTATTGAAAAGCGCTAATTTCGTGTTGGTATTCAACGCAGCAGTATGAGCTGCCAGCAATAGAACACATGGTCACATCCGCCGCCCCTGCTGCTCCCGCTGCCGAGCAGCGACCACTTGGCTCACTCTTCAAGCGGCGCCCACGCCCTAAACATGCCAGTGCGTGCCGCTGATGAAGGGTGGTATGTGACCACGTTGTTTTCATGTTGTAAAGTTGACAGCCGCCACCCGTGCCGTTTGTTGGTTTATAGGATACTGTCCAGGGAACGCAGGGCATGCAGAGTGCAGTCGTGCAGGCAACTGGCAAGGCGGTCCATATCATGCCCGCACCTACATCCGCCCTGCACAAGCTCAAAGTTCCTGCACGAAGCTTCTCGTTGGGTCAGCAAGTCCTCCTAGCGCCTCACAGGCGCCGCATGCGGGCTTGCGCAGGCAGCTGCCAAGCAAGTTTCTGGGCGGTCTGCTGTCACCATGTCACCAGGGCACCGATGTTGACGGCTGCCACCCTCGGAGGTGCCAGGTGCGCGAGATTGGATTGTGTATGTGAAAACAAGGCGTATGTCAGAAACTTACCTTTGTTTATATCCAGGACTCTAGTTTCCAGATTGCTCGGGAGGATGCCCCAACCCCACCAGGGGGGGCTGGGCGCCTGAATCAGTGCGTGCGCACTCTTCAGTGGTGGGTGGGTGTGGTATACCTCATCCCAAAGAACATGCTGAAACCCCTCACCCTTGCACCGCAGTCCATTGAGTATTCACACGCCCCTTGGTAAGGGCAGTGGCGCACTGGCTACCCACAAAGTAGCCGTGGCTGCACTCTTTGCGGGCATTGGTGAGCGCAGCTGCAACTCAAGGCGCGGGCCCCTTCAAGGCCAACGTTCTGCACAAGGCTGTCTGCCGCCCAATCCCGCAAAACAGCTATTCTGGTGTGGCACACCAATTGCAGGATGTGTCACAAAAAATGCAGCATGTACTATTGGTTGATACTGTGACATGGATCAGAATCCTGTCCAACTCCAAGTCGATGATATAAAGCACACATGTGCGCTGCGAGACTCACCACTGAGAAGTGGGGCCAAATTTTCACTCCTGCAGGGCAATTCACTGCCACCGCGTCAGTGTATCAAACCACACGTTTGCACACCTACCGCACGCATGTGCACCACCAAACAAATATTGCGATCCTGGTCAGCTCATGGGAAGAGGATCCAAACCCACTCGTCTGGGCACAAGCGCCTGCGCTGCGCAATGCTCATATCCCCGCTGGTGCGTCCCTTTGCAGTCGCCACCCCAAAACCGCTTCAGGGGTAATCTTCCGCCCACAGCAGTGCGTCCTCCCCCACCCTGGGCGCCCCTGCCGGCATGAACACCAGCGCGCCGCCGGCGCAGGGGCAGGCGATGTCGCCCGCCTCGTCATCAGCGGCGACCACCTGCCCCGCCGCGACGTGCGCGAAGGCCGGGGGTGGGGCGCCGCCGCCGCCGCTGCCGCTGCCGCTGCCGCCCCAGAGCCAGCGGAAGCCAGCCCGCACGATGACACCGCTGCGCGCCACAACGTGGCGGGGCGCGGCCGCCGCGCCGCTGCCGGGCTCGCCCGTGCGAGTCCCTCCAGCGGTCGCAAACGCCCTTAGGCACGCCTCTGCGACCTCCACTGAGGCCGGGTCCTGGTGGGAGCCGCACTCCACGCACGACGCGCGGACCGCAGCGCCGGCGGCCGCCGCGGCCGCGGCCGCCCACTCGATCGCGAGGCCTTGGCCGGCGCCAGTGTAGTCGCGGACGACGTAGGCCACAGGCAGCGACAGCGCCAGCTCCGCCTCTGGAGGGACGCCCTCCTGGGCCCCGCCTTGCTGCTGCTGCTGCTGCTGCTGCGCCTGGCCCTGCCCGTGCCCCTCTGCAGCCGCCGGCCCTGCTCCTGCCAAGCTGGGTGCCTTGGCCGCGCTGCTGCTGGCGGCCCCGCCGCCGCCGCTGCTGCGGGCAGCGCTCGCGGCGCCGCTGTCGCCTGGCACGTAAAAGGCGAACGGCGGCGTTGGAACAGACGTCGAGTGGATGTCCAGGACCGACCCCGCGGCCTCGATCAGCGGCGCCAGCTGCGCCGCGCGCGCCGCCTCATACGGCGCCGGGCCGCCGTCGCTGCGGTTGCTGCCGCCGCCGGCGCCGGCGGCCGCGTGCCCGACGCCGTCCCCACACCTGGCGGTGCCGCCGCTGCCGCCGCTGGAGCCATTTGCAATCACATCCTCCTTGAAGCACCGATTCAAGTTCAAGTCGAGGAACCTTACCCCTGCTGCGAGTGCTTTAGGATTCCCAACCACCAGCCGCAGCTCGTCAAAGGGGCAGCTTGGGTCTGCGGCCGCTGCGGCGAAGAAGCCGGCAGCGAGGAGTCGGTTGGCGGCGACCACGCCGCACGGCTCGTCGCCGTGAACGGCGAGGAGCGCCAGGAAGCGGCGCTCGCGTAGCGGCGGCTCGTTGATGGCGCCGGCGCCAATGCCTGGGCGATGTATGACGACCCCTGGGCGGTCGGGGCCGAGCAGCAGCGGCGCCGGCGCCGCACTGTCGCTGGCACCTTCAATGCGCGCGGCCGGCGACATGCTGCTGTGCACACCCCCGTCACTGCCCGTGTATGCTGGGGTCGTGAAACTTCGGACAGTGATTTTACTTCAGCTCAGTGCCGTACGTTACTCACGAAGATGCTCGGATAACAGTAGAAAACGAAGATCCTGCTGCAAAATACGGTACACCTGGCTGAAGCCTTTGGTTACGCTCTTAAATCAATAAATTCTCAAAACAGATGGTGATGTTGAGATACAGCAGCTGGCATGGCTGCGGCCACAAGCGCCTGCGGCGTTTCTCACACATTTACCACATGATACAATGCGATCACAGACTGTGCAGCCAGCCAACCCAGCCCAAGCGGGCGGCTGGCAGGGGAAAATGAGTGCATCTGTGAAGCATGGGCATGCAGACACACAGTTGTCTGAGAGGGCTGCCCATACGCAAATCGCGCTCAGCTGGACTGGGTGGTCACAGGCACGGACTGCTCAGCTGGACTGGATCAAGCCGCTTGGATGCTGACATCAACGACAAAGCGGCCAGACGTAGAAGCTTCTTGTACAGGTGTGGGTCTTTCGTATCATCGCCTGTCGTGATTTGCGATCAAGTGGGAGCCGTTGGGAACATTCCTATCTGCAGGCTACGGGCGGGTAAAAGATCCAATCCTGCAAGGGGTGCTTGATACAAAACGTGCTGTCAAAGCACATCAAATATGATTCGACACGACCTGATATGTGACAAGCAGTCACATGGGTATGTCGTTTATCACAGCCCCAGGCCCGCAAGGACCATGTGCACACGTGTCAGCCTGACACGCGCTGAGCACCAGGTGCTAGTAACGCCCTCGAGTACAGTATGCCTGGGCTGACAAATCCCAATTGCCAGCCGACGTGTGTGTGTTGAAGAAGCCAGAGAATTTGAGTACCGTGTGCAGATGGTTTCCTGCATGGGGCGGGGTGTGTCTGTGTGCGAGCACGGGACAGGTGTTGTGGCGGCTGTCTGGCGGTTGGCCGTTGGCCAATTCGGTGGTCGAGCCGATGATGCGTTGATCTGTGCACCCCATCATGCCCGTATCTTTGTGTGATGCATTTTTGCGTCGTGTATGCATGTGTCCACACATGTATATATGCCCTTGCGGTAGTTATCTGCCTTGCGAGTATGTCTCGGAGTTGTTCGGACCTGCACTCGGTCTGATCCAAGGACGCGCGCGCATTCACAAATAGGCATCTGCGCCTCACATATTATCTAGAGTGATCAAATTCGACAACTTATCATTGATCCCCCAGCGCGCACTTGTGGTTGGTTGGGCCGCCTCCGCCAGCGCTCCAGCAGAATCCGCTTCATCAGCAGTCCCCGTTTCAATGTCCCCTCTGCCAACATCAGGCGTGGTAGATTTTGAGAGTGCCTGGGCAGCTGCAGTGAGCGCTCGTAAGCATGCAGCCTCCGGCGCCGGCCCCGGCGGCCCCGTCTTGCCACCAACCGCCGCGGCCGCCCATGCCCCGGCTGCTTGCCCCTCCGGCGTCCTGCGCCCGCCCGCACGCTCCGTGTCCACCGCCTCTGATGAGGACCCTTTGATGCAGCTGTACGGAAGCTACCTCCGCCAGGGTAGTGCCACCTTCAGCCTCGCGTTCGTCCAGCCTATTGATGACGGGACTGACGGCCTTGAGGGCGGAGCCGCCGCGGCCACGGGCTCCGGCATTGGCGGAGGCCGCGGCCTGCTGCGGCGCGGCAGCTCGCTGATCGCTGTGGCAGCGGAGTTCGCCACCACTGGTGCAGACGGGCGCCCCGGGCTCGTTGCCGCTCAGATAGAATGCGTCAGCGTTGTCAGCGTCGCCCCCGCCGCCGCGTCTCCAGCATGGGGTGTGCCACCAGCTGCCCGCCTGGGGCCCGCCACGGCCGCGCCTCGCCAACCCGAGCCACAGCCACCGCCCATGTCCCTGCAGCAGCATCCGTGGCGACAGCAGTCGTTTGATCTGATCGCAGCTGCCATGCGGCTGCCGAGTGGTGACGTCATCTTTGACGAGGAGTTTGACGCCGCCACGCTGCTGCCTGAGGACGAGCCACGGCAGCTGCAGCAGCACCAGCCGCAGGATTCCCCAGCACTGAACAGCAGCGCTATCGGTCGGTGGCCTGACCAGCCGCCAGCTGAGTGTGCCACGCAGGCGCAGCTGCCGCCCTGGGCGGGGGCAGCGCGGGGCCCGGCAGATGGCCCGCACGCCCCTTTCAGCCGTGGCCAGATGCCGCCGCCGCCACCGGTCGCACTGGTGCAAGGAGCTGGCGGCCCCGCGTGGCACCGGCTCAGGCGCGCCAGCTTTGTCGGCGGGGTGCCACCGCCCTTCATGGCGCTGGCCCCGGGCCAGTTGCAGGGCAGCGGGGGCTCTTGTGCTGGCGGCGGTGGCGGCAGCCTCGGGGGGCCAGTGATCACCATCCCCCTGCACACGCGCCTCAGCAGCATGGGCAGCGCTGACAGCGCTCACGACGCCTTTGCGCCCGGCGGCGCCGGGGCGGGTGCGCACATGGGGACCCAACTGCTGCGCGGCAGCTCGTCCTTTGAGCAACTGCAGTATCACCATAGCCTGCAGCAGCAGTACGCGCTATACCATCAGCGTTCTATGCACTTTCAGCAGCAGCCAAGGCAGCAGCAACACCAGTGCCACCACGACCCTCATCACCACTTGCACCATGGCCACCAGCAGCAGCAGCACTGGCAGGAGCAGCTTCAGCATCACTTCCACCACAACCCTCAGCAGCAGCGGCAGCAGCAGCAGCAGCAGC